TGGCATTCACACCCACTCTGACAGCTGAAGACACGAAGAACACTTCAGACATTATTTACACCCTTTTGGACAAAGTGATAACAATTATGGAATTCTATTCACAAAATATTAAGACAGCAGAAAGTTAAAATAAAAATTAATGGAAATTAATAACATCTTATTCAATTTCAGTTATAGTATTTGCTTCCTTCCAACTTTGGTTTTTATCAGTCTATAATTTTGTTTTGTACATTACTGATTACACTAATGTAAGACTAATATAAGCAGATGGCAAGGTTTTATGATATATGATAATCAGTAAAATGGTTGGACTGGCTTTTCTAAGTTTAGTGTCTTCTTTCTTGAAATATTTCAACTGATATGTAATGACATTTAGCGAATCCATGACTGTCTTCAATGCTTCGTTCATGCAAGTAATTGTAGACACTTTTTTCTTTTCTGGGACAATATTTCTCTATGGGGGACACTATGTGTAACTGACAACACTCTCTTCATGGCTGTCTAAGGATCCTTAGACAGACTGCACCACAATCTGGAGGGAGCCCCCATGGACTGTAGTAGTGTTGGATGGAGAGAGGGAATACCAATGCAAACTCACCTATAGCACCAAGATTCCTATAGTAGGCGCTGATTTTATCATTACAAACAACATCACCACTCACTTAATTCTAGTCTCCTCTAGAATGGACTCTTCTAATTTTTATATCAAACAATCTCACATCAATTTCTATGAAATCCATGATCACTTTCTAAAAATTATTTGTAAAGACAGTATCAACATTTCAAAACATCTTATGTCTGATACAGATGTTTTTTTATCTACTTACTATTATTGCAGAGTCTAATGTATCCTGATCTATCAAATTTATCACAGAACTAAACAAATCGTTCCATTGTTCCTCTGTCATTTTGCTTCGACATATATCCTTGTCTGACTCTTTGACACCAGAAGCTTTATTCTCATTCTTAGTGTGAGGAGCAGTGAAACTACAACCTGGCTCTTCCATCATCATTTCATTCATATCATTAATTTCTCGGTTGGTATTTTTCTCTGTTTCTGAATCTTTCTTTCGTAGTGCAGGTGCTTGGATGGCAACCATGACCTGGGAAGCTGTTGATGCATCTTTGTTTGAGTCATCCTTGAGTTCTTTATCAAATGCTTGAACTTCTGTATGTAATGTTTCTTTCTTGGTGGTATCCTTTTTCTGATGCAGTCACTACTGTACTTCTGTCTGTTTGGGTATCCTGAAAGTATCAAATCATGAAAACCTAAAATAATCTACATTCAAACTAGATCCCATAAATCTCTAAAGTACTGCACCTTTCCACACTAGCCATGATATCAATTAAGAAATTTACTTTTGAATCTATGGCAAAGAAAACAATTCACAGCAACTGCTGAAAATACACAATGAACACTGTCAAAAACATTTTGATCAAAATATTTCTATCTCATATACCAAGTTCAAAAACAATAACAAAATCAATGTACCACTTTTCACATTTTAATACATAATAATTTATGTACTAACAAATGCTCTTTTTCTTTCCTAGTAATTTAAATGGTTATATTTTCTGAGGTGAACATAGAAAAAAACATCATACTTACATCAACCTTGTTTATCAAGTTATCCTCTTTAGCAATTACATTTTTCTCATGCAGACTTGTTTCGCATAATACAGGTTTCTTTATGAGCTGCTGATTTCCTCCTTCATTCGTACATGTAGATTCTGATAACGTTTCTCCATGTTCAGTACAGGTTTTATTTATATCCTTTTCTTCTATGCTTTGGATATCATGTACAGGTGGGGAAAAGGCGGGTCTCTTTGGAAGATGCCTTTGTATTTCTGGATTAAATACAGCACTTAATTTTGCATTTTTGGGGTTATGCAAATTACTAGTAACACGACTTGTATTTATCCCTTGAACATCTGAGCTTACAAGACGGTTTGATGATTTGACACGTATTTTTCCAAATGTGGGTACTTTCCTTTTCAATGAGACAGATGCTGCCTGTGGCTCACCTTTTGGTGTCTCATCCTCTTTTACCTGTAGACCTGAAGGTTGAGGAGTCAAAACATTAACATCAGATTCTTCAGACGTTTCAATAAAGTCTGATAATTCAGCCTCAGCCATGCTTGCCTTCTGAAAGAGGGAATGTGGCAATTTCATCTTTGGCCCTATTCTTTTAAAGGAGGGCTTTTCCCCTTTCCCTGAGACAGTCTCCGAATGTTTGCTACATTTTTCTGAAATAGATTCAGTGCTCATGCCAGGGTATGGCTGACTAGTCTCATGATGTGCAACCTCTTCTTTAGACATCTCAGTAGTGGGGACCTCTTGTTCTGAGCCACTGGATTTGCTAGTGTTTTGAAATGGGGAACAAGTCTCTCCTGCATTGTCATTCATTTTATTTTGTAAAGGAATATCAATATCTTTGGCTAAATCCCAAGGATTTCTATGCTCAACTGCAGTCTCAGTGACTACTGATGCTGCAGAAACCTGCTTCTCTCCAGGCATCTGACTCATCCTGAAAGACAATTATAATTGAATATTAGGCCTATACTAGGAGAGAGAAAAAAATACAATGTATATTTTTAAGAGAGATAAGCAGAAATTTTAATCTATGTATATAAAATTGCATGCTCATACATAGACAGCTAGAATAAAAAAAAAACAGGTTATCAAAAGGATAATATGGCATTATAATTGCTATAACTTCAATAAGTAATAGAAAAATCCTATATAACTCCTGCTGTGGAATTAAGGTGTATATATACATCACTAGGGTAATGACCATGCCCATCCTTCTCCAGTGACATGAGCATGTTTCCTTCCACTTCCTCAGAAACAAGGAATTTACTGTATACAGGCTGATTGCCAGCAGTGGATGATCAAAAAAAAAGGAGACAGATTGGGTAATGAGGGTGATCAACCACTAAAAGACAATAGAGGTATTTTATATTTCAGAAGCATTTTCAAAGGATTTTGGAACAAATTGTAAATCAATTAATGTTGCAGACAAAAGGTGCAGGCTTTAGTGGTTTCAAGAAGAAATAAGGTACATATACCTATTTGATTTTTTTATTTATTTATAATTATGTAACAATTTAAAAATCTATACAAGAAATATGATTCCAGCACTTTTATACTATTTATTTATAATTATGTAACAATTTAAAATCTATACAAGAAATATGATTCCAGCACCTAAGTTTTCTCCACTTTTATACTATTTCTTACTCAATTTTTATATTGTTGCCATAATGAAAGTAAGTTTTCCCACATACCTTTACTAATGAGCATGACAGTGCAATACACACTATTTGGGCTCAGCTCACATAATGACATATTTCAAGTATTTTCGAAATCCATCACCACTTTAATGTCATCAGCCAAATTTAATGAAGTAGTATTTTAGGCTGTACTGTGCCAGTTTTTCTTTTTATGACATGTTTTGAGCTGCACTTCAAACATTCCAGCCAAACCAGGTTAAAATCCATTGAATCTCAAGTGATAATATCGTCTTTCTCTCACTGACACACACTTGCCCCAATCCCCTTCACCCTAATGACCACACTCTTGATTGCTACCACTGCCTCCCCTAGCCACCCTAACAATGTGACCTACTGTGCTACAGTACCAGATATCTTCACTCCCCCCCAATATCTGGAGTTCTACATATACCTTTTGGAACATATAACAATAGAACCTGCTTTTTTTTCTTTTCTTATCTTATTTTTTCTTCATTTCTTTTCGTTTACTATACATCCAGGAGCAGTCCAGAAATCTTTACAGAATAGTTGCCTAATTAGGAATAATCCTGTGTGCCCCAAAAGATTAGAAATAAAATTCAGAACACTGGAAGTGTTTAGTTCTTAAAAAATCAGATGACAGTCAAGTTCAGTACCAGACAAATTGCCATGAAGTGGTTGTGAATCAATTTATATCCTTCAAGGTCTGTTCTTTGTAGTTGAAAGAATATAAGTGGTCCCCTAGGATGGCCCTATCATGAATAGCACTAATAGGGGTCTTGGTCAACTTGAACCAAGTAAAAAAAAAAAAAAAGTAAGCAATCCTGATCGAAGGAGACCATAATACACCATTCCACTGGTCTTCTAATGGTTGTATGGTAGGTGGAATAGGAGTTCAGGGGAACTCCACATTCCACTCAATCGCAAGTGTGGTGTTAAACCTATGATGAGATAGGCCTTTAATTTTATAAAACCCTATCAGTGCTTTGTCTTGTGGGCATATAATTGTTAATCTACAAATCTTGTAAACGAGGACATCACTGTGGTCAA